GTGTGTGAATTTATATTCGATACGCTTTCCGGTAGTGTAGTTGGGAAAAATGCTATCATTATTCTTTATTTTACGGTTGTTTTGATCGGCCTATGAGAGATCCTGGCTTTTCTTCCGTCTCCTGAAGGGATATCCGGCTCAGTGGCCTTCCCAGGAGAAGTGCTTTGTGCAAAATGCTTTTGACAAGGCCAGAGGTTGAGTCATTTTTCAGCATTTTCTAAGAAATCTTTAATCACTGTCATTTTACCATGTTGATAGATGTCTCCTCCGGGCAATCATTTACATTCCAGTGATTATGGCTACAGATGATCCCATAAACTCCAATATGAAGCCGAAGTGGTTTCAAGTTTTGGTTTTCCGATCTTCGTTTTCGTCACACTTTCCTTGTGGGCGCATTTTTGAGAATCCCTGAAAAGCCACGTGGGAGAAGAGGGACAGGGCAAGAGCAAGCAGCAATAAAAGCAAAAATCGGATTAAAGTAACCGAGCTTCTAGTACGCATCAAGTTATTTGCCCCGTTTTGGAAGCCAGAGTTTGAGTTACATTATATGAACTCACAACAACCTGGGGCACTGGTCAGTTATCCAATGATCATTTTTGATAGCGATTTTGGGTTGTTGTAGAGAAGATTTTGGAGCCTGCAAGCAGCTACTTCGACGAGGATCTCAGGTATCTGAGGTTCTGCGGCGGTCACAGCAGCAAGAAAACGTTTGACGGTGAGATCCAGAGCCCCGGCTTTCCGGCACTTTATCCGAAAAATGTCACCTGCAACTGGCTGATTAGAGTGGATCCGGGCAAAAAAATTTACATACGTGTCCGGTACCTTGAACTCTCGCCAACTATGGGTTCGTTCCATTCTCTTTATTCACAGTTCTGTAAAGTCTTTATTCTCTAACATTAGCATTTGTACATTTGCTGCAGCATGTACCTTCAGAAATCTGGATTTTCTGACCAAAATAATTCATATTCGCCTTTTCCCATTTTACCTCCTCGCAGTAAAATTGTCAA